CTGTTAGGCTCTTTGGGATCCCAGTGTAATGTGGGGAGTGTTTCCCATACAAAGCCTGAAAATGGTTAATTTTATGTGTCGACTTGGCTGGGTCACCATGTCCAGACATTTGGTCAAACAGTACTCTGGATGTTTCTGTGGTGGTGTTTTTGGATGAGATTGACACTTAAATCAATGGGCTTCAAGTAAAGCAGATTGTCTTCCATGTGGGTGGGCCTCATCCACTCAGTTGAAGGCCTGAGCAGAACAAAAGACTAACTATCCCAGAACAAGAAGGTATTTTGCCAGCAGACTGCCTTCAAACGTGAACTGCAACATTGTCTCTTCATGGGTGTCTAGCCTGGTGGCCTTTGGACTTTGTATTAAAATGGACTTGTGGAATTTTAACTTATGCAGGTGACTAATGATGACACAGAGAGGCTAATGCCATTGAGAGAAGATTTTCATTACTTATATTTCCTGAGAGGAGACGGCACGCCGCACCACATAGGGCCACCCGATGGAGCACCAGTTTGGTCAGGAGACACAGGCGGGGGAGGGAAAGTAGGGCCCAGAGGCTTTATTGTGGTTTCCATGGAAAAAGCAACGCCGGGCAAGGAGATGGCTTAGGATTGGCTAGTTGGAATAATGTCGCTGGGCTCTAGGCTACGGGGTGTCTGCAGTTATCACGTAGCAGCCCTGCAGTGATTTAGGGCAGGGGAAATATTGGCTTGGTGTGTGACAGTTAGGTAAAGGAGGGGGCTGGGGGTATGGACTGGTGGCTTTGCATAGGAAAGGTGTGTTTGCAGGTGTTTATTATCTCTAGGAATGGGGCAGACTCTCCTTGGCCAGCAAGGCCCCTCAAGGTGTCAAATCATCATAAAATACAGAAAATAAAAAATATGATTAATACAGACTTGAACTGCAACATCGGCTCACCCTGGGTCTCCAGCCTGCCAGCGCACTCTGCGGATTTTGGATTGCTAGTCTCCATAATCACATGAGCCAATTCCTTAAATCAAGTCTCTCTCTCTCTCCTCTATATCTATCCTCTAAGATAGATGTGTACATATCCAACCGGTTCTTTGGAGAACCCTGACTAATACAACTTCCTTCCTGTTGCCTCTGCAAATGCCTCCTGAAGCCCAATTATGAGCTATAAGAATATACCTGCAGCGAAAGCAACTTTGGGTCTCAGATATTTTGGTTATACTCTGATTTCAGGCTTTCCCCCAGAATTTCGCCTGGCAGATTCCTACTCTCTTTCTACCTCTTCCATGCCTTTATGAAGATTTTTTTAAATGAATTAATCAAAACTTGTAATTTCTTTTTTTAGGAGGACAGTCGATCGGAATAATCTAGCCCGCCTGTAGCAGTGATCTCCCGTTGGCCCTCCGCTCGTACTCTCCCGCTGCTCCGTGGGATGGGGTGGGCAGCGGGAGGCATCAGCAGGTTCCTGTGCCCTCTGGCTGCACTTGGGTTCAGCCAGTGGGGAGCCTCAGCTGAAGTTCTGAGGAGGCATAGAGCAGTCAGGGTGTTTATCCCCATGAAACCCTTTTTGTGAGGTTTCCTTGCTGGCTATGTCCCCTAACTGCAGGTCCCCGCTCCTCTCAAGGCAGCCCCTCTCCGAGGCTCTTGCACCCTGTCCCTTAGGGCCCAGGGGTGGCAAACACTCTGCTCCTGCTGCTGGTACAGGCTCCTGCATTGGACCTGCTCTTTCCCTTACACTCCAACCATATGTTTGCAGTTAGTTCTTTTGTAAATAAACACTCCACAAATCATCCTACTGTAAGTGTGCCAGCTCCGTACTTTGTGATGTCCATGCAAAGTAATGATTGCATTCTTCTTTCATTTCTGTTGATCCTGTTATTCACCCATCTACTGTGAGTTCAACTAATAGTTCAACTATTATATTTTTCATATGGAATATTTTGACTTGCTCGTTTTCTGTGGTTTCTTTTCTTGGATCTTATTACTAATAATATTTTCCTATATCCATAAGGATTTTCATATGTGCTCATTAAAATTTTTAGTCTATCTCTTTCAATAACTCTATTTCAAATCACATATAATGTCCAGTCTGTTGTATTTCTTGTGTGACAATCACACTGCTCAGGAATGTGGCTGTTCTGGCATTTGTGTTCATATTCCCCAGTGGTTAGCTACCATCCTGTCACTCTGTGTGATGTTCTGCACTGGAGAAGGGCTGAAGTCCTGAGAAGTTCAAGGGGGAGCGGGATGGCCCCAGAGCGGATTCTTTAGCCCTGAAGAGCCAATTCTTCACTTCTTCTCCATACGGCCACCCACAAGGCAATTCCCATAGTTGGGGCTTCAATTTTAAAGCTTTAGAAGACATCACACTGGAAGGACCAAGTCTCCCCAGGCAGTAACACCTTGCCCTTGGGGGTAGAAGCAGAGGCATGGAGGGCACTGCTCAAAGGTGGCTGGTGAGACCTACACATGGCCACGCTGCAACACACTGGCACCCGAGAAGGATTAGGCAGCATTTACCACGAGGCTGCGGGTGGCGAGAGGCAAGAGCCGAACACGTGAGAGCTGCAGGCACATCCTCTCCTTGCCCTCCCTCTCCCCCAGCCACAGGCTATGCAAGAGAACCTGCGGTTCTCCAGGATTTCCTCACTGATTCTGGTTTCTGAGATCCATATCTTCTTTCATCTCCCCAGCTCACCCAAGGTTGATTTTGGGGTGCAAACCAGAAGCCCACTGGGAGCTCCTAGGGGCGGATCTGTTGAAACCCACTACAGACGCCACTCCCAGCCTGTCCCCCAGTCCCACACTCACTGGCCCTGCAGATCTGCTCTCTACCCTGACCTCGGTCTTGCTATTTGATATCTTTCCTTGCCACTGACCAGAGGGAATTGTGGGTCACACTTGGGACAGGTCAGCCCAAGCCTCTCAAAGGTAGCCCAAGAGAGGAGGTTGGACAGGGTCTAAGGTGTCTGGGTGTGGCCTCACCAAAGGGAAGGACAAAGACCTCTCAGCTCTCTTAAGAGATCTAAGTTGAAATCCATATTCTACTGTTTACTAACCGTGTGACCTCAGATGAGTTGTGTGACCACGTTAGGCCTCAGGTTCAGATCTGTGAAAACAGATCCAACCTGGATAATGATGCTGAGCACTGAGTGTGGTTCCAGATAACAGGGAAATGGGCGGGGGTTGAGCTGTGATTTGGCAGATCTGCAGAGTGGACTGGAAATGTATGTGCCTCTACTGAGTTATGGGGGCCCCAGGAACTTCTGGAAGGGCAAATAGTCCTGTCCCTTCATGCTCCACACAGAAACATGGCTGTGGATAGGCAAAGCAGAAGTCACCATGGGAGAAAATCCAGCACAGCCAGCATGAGGCCACCATGGGCTGAAGAAGAGTGGCAGTTCTGGGGACAGCGGGTGGCCACTGCTCCAAATCTGAACTGACCAAGTGTGGCCTCCCACCTCTGGGCCCAGCAGCCCTGCTGCAGAGCCCACAGTTGAGGCTGCTACCAGGAGAGGGAAGGCTTTTCTTCTCACTTCCGGACACTGCTGAGCTGGGGAGGAGATCTCTGCACGAGTGGCAGAGGGCATAGAGCCAGCAAGGTTCTGGTGACTGCATGCACGTGGCTTCACCTGTTCTCACCTGCTGGTGAGAGTCTGGGCTATTTGGGTGACAACAGGATTGTAAAGAATTTGTACAGGACACCTGATGGTGGACACAGTGGACCTGCAATGACTAGAAGCTGCTCTCTGATGATCAAAGGTTTGAAACTGGGGGCCAACTTGTTTTAACTGTCCTCAGTTAGTAGTCTGTTTGCAAAAGTAGTTAGATAGATACTGAATTACTAAAGCACACCTATAGATAACATCTCTGCTGCCTGGGTCACCATGGTAACGGGTAGAGTGCTTAAGTTTTTCAGGAACTGAAAGTAAACTCTTTGTCCCATTCAGGCTGGTTGAGACCACCAACTCATCATGCATGGATGACTGATAAGTGGCCTCCTGATGTCAGGGAGCTAAAAACTCCACCCTCAGATCATGGTGATGCTGCCATTCTGTGAATATGTGTCCTGTGAAGAGCCATGGAGTCTGACTACACTTGTGCAGATCAACAATTACCTCACCTCTCCTCACCTCCAATCATCTATCCCCACACTTAAGATCACCCTGCCCCTCTACCCCATAAATATGTCTAATCCCCATGTTTTGGGGAGGCAGATTTGAGACTTGTTATCCCATCTCCTCACTTGGCTGCCTTGTGAATAAACCCTTTCTCTTTGCAAACTCATCATCTCGTTTATTGGCATAATCATGCAGCGGGCAAAATGAACCTGATGCGGTAACAGGTGCAGATGGACCTGTGCAGGTGGTGGAGAGGACTTTCTGAGAGTTCTGCTGACTAGCGGAGATTCAGTGACCCAGACATATTTGCAGGAGGCAGCTCAGGACATGGCTTATGGGCTCAGTGCTGGGCCAGCAAACCTGGGGTGAACCAAGCCTCAACCACTGCAGGCCATGACAAGTCCACAGGGGGTGGTGGGCCCTGGAGACCGGGAAAGGATAGGGCTGTGGGTACAGGAGGTATAGGCTAAGAGCTGACCTCTGGAACAGAGCTCTGAGGACCACTGACCTAAGACTCTGGACCTCAGCCTGATGGACAGGGTCCTTCGCAGTCTACTTCAAATAGAACCTGTCAAGCAGAGGCTCTGTGACCTGTAGCCCTGAGAGATCCTTTTTCATCCCCAGCTCAGGACAAATCATTCATCTCCAGGAGGACCCCGTGCCCATTGCACTGGCGATCAGCACCCCGCTGGCCCTAGAGCTTGCTACTTCCTCCTTGGGCTGAGGCTCTGGCCCCTGAGCTGTGCTGGCTCTTTTGGAAGACTGAGGAGAGTGACTCAGCTCCAGTTAGCCAGCCAGCCCCTCGGTGTCCCTGTCCTTCCCACCCCAGCCCAGGGAGAAGGGAGACCTCCTGAAGTGAGGGCAGAAGTGGAGGGTTGCTCTGATGGGTCAGAAACAGGAGCAAGAAGCTTCTTTGATTATTTTTATTTTTTCAGGCCTGGAGCAGGGCTCAGATGGACAGGAGGGTGCAGAGATGGACACATTTAGGGAGAGCGCAGAACCCACTGGCGCTAATGCACAGAGGTTTGTTGGGGGAGGGCCGGGAAGGCACCATGGAGTCTGTCACAGAATCCTGAGGCACAGCCACCATAGGAGGAAGGTCTGTGAAGACACAAGGATGACGCAGGTCCTGTGCTTGTGGGCAGTGCCCAGAGAAACAGAGTTACCCAAAGCAGGAGGTGGTTCCTCAGGAGGAGCAATACTAGGGTCGGGACTGGGCGAGGAGCTCTGCTTCTCTCTGATCCAGTTGGCGAAATAGCTGACTTTGGAGAAGACGCTGGGGCCCACAGGATCATTGCACGGTGCGCTGAAGCTGGACAGCCCCATCAGAAACCAGGTGTTGTTGAGGAAGCAGACCAGGGGGCCCCCAGAATCTCCCTGAAGAAAGAGAGGGCATGAGTTTTGGGGACCAGGATAGAAGGGCACACATCGTTTGGGCAGTATGAAGAGATTGCCCTTGTCCCCCTCCAGAGTGGAGCTTAGGAGGCCTCATGTCAAGGTGGGGTTGCAAGTGAGCTGTTCTCATCAGAATCACCTGGGTGATTTGAAAAGTCCAGCCACAGCATCCCCCTGGAGACCTCTTGGATCAAAATCTCAAGGGTGAGGCCCCGGAGTCCATTTCACAAAGCTCCAAAGGGGACCCTGAGCAGCCTTCCAGACTGGCAGTCTTAGACTTACAAGAATACACAGTAGGACCCCAGGCATGGGATGCCAGCCTTCTGCCCTCCCACCCCCATGTGGGAGAAGGCACCACCTGAGGTCGCACAGGGCAGCTGTGGCAGGTGTGGAGGTCTGGCCTGCAGGCCTCCGGCTAAATCCTTAGCCCAGTATTGCATCCTACCTGGGCCTTTGTTTTTGACCTACTAAGGTCTCTAGTTTTTCCTCAGTTTCTTGGTTGAGCTTGTTTAAAAATGCCAAGCTCAGAGGAAAAGAGGTGATACCTGTTCCCAGGTTGGGGTGGGGTGGTTGGAAATGCAGGGATGCCCAAGGGGCTCCCAGGAGAATGCTGGGGACTTTGAGAGCAGGACTCTAAGGCAAGAAGGCACCTGCCACCATGGAGCTTAATGCTTCTGTCTCATAGACCAAAAAGTGGGGATCAAGGGAACACGGGACCCCTCCAGCCTTCTGCTGAAAAACATGATTAAGCACCCTCTGTGTGCAAGAGACACTGAGGTGACACACAACACAGATAATTCATCACACGTGTCTGTAGATGTGAGAAGCAGAACAGAGGCGCCCAGGGGATAGGAAATAACTGGGAAGAGCTGCTCTAACTGGGCTGTCAGAGAGCTTCTCTGAGCCAAGACAGGAGGGATGAGCAAGCCTGACTCTGGAAGATGCAGGCAGAGGTGGCCAGCATGCTGGCATGAGTGAGCTGGAGGATTGGCAAGGCCAGTCCTCAGCCCCCATAAGCTGGCGGGGGGAGGGGGGGAGGAACGCTGAACGACACTCAGCAGGGAAGTGATGTGATATGATACAGATTCCAAAAGGATGGCAGGATGGTCTGGGGCTGGTGGAGCACAGCCAAGCACAGTGCACTAGCTAATCAGGGAGACCAATCAGGACACGAGCGCAGCAGAAGGTATGACAAGGACAGACAAAAAATGGTGAGACAGGATTTGCCATATCTGACCCCTTCTCTCCATCTAAGGAAAAAGCAAATGAAGCCAGAAAAGCAGGATGAGTGCTGACTGGTGGGTCCTTGGTCGGAAAGAGGAGGAAGAGAGCAGGAGACACGGGACGGGCAGCCCTCAGAGTCTGCTGGAAGCTGTGCAGGGTGCACTGCTGAGCGTTGAGTGAGAGGAGGTCTGAGTGAGACCAGCAGGCCTGGGGAGACCCAGGCCTTTGGTTATCGTGGTGACTGTGCTCTGGAGTGGGCTGAGGCAAGACAGAAGTGAGGAGGCAAGAAAGAACAAGTGCAGATGCCCCTGGGCAAACACTGCTAGGAAGGCAGGCTGAGAATCAGAGCAGTGGGCAGGGTTCTGGGAGGAGAAAAGGTGTGTGTGGGTGTTTTAAGAGGGGGCGTCACAGCAGTATGTCTCTGAGCTGTTGGGAGATGGTCAAGGAGAGAGAGAAAGAGCTAGAAAGAGAGCTAGATGAGGGAGGGGAGGGAGGGGAGGGTGTAGGGGGAAGCCTGTGGGGCCACAGCGCCAGGGCGGGCACGGCTCCTCTAGGTCTCACCACGGTCACGCCGCCTCGCCTCGGGCTACCCACTTCCCTCTCTGGGCCTGTTTCCCCACTATGAAACAGAGGGTTATACAGAGTGGAAGAAGTCATTCAGAATACGTATATCCCATAATGCACCTATAGCCTACCATTCAATATGAAAGACAGACAATCCCATAGAAATCTTGGCAAAAAACTTGAAGAGATACTTTACAAAAAAGGAAATACACATATGAAAAAGCACTTATCTTCATTATTCACTAGAGAAATGCAAATTAAAAATCACACGCAATGGTTAAAAAGAAAATGGTGGACAACACGAAGCCCCCTGGAGCAACGTGGAGCGGTCTGCCCTTGCGCCCTCTGCTGGTGGAAGCGCGGACGGGCACCCGCAGGTGTGAGGCGGCTGGCTGAAATCTATGAGAGATGAACCTGTGCACATCTGATGGCGCAGTAATTCTACTCCCAAGCTTATACCCAACCGAAACCGGAGCCCATGTGCACTAAGCCCACACGCTGGAGTGTTCACGGCAATGCTATTTGTAATGGTCTCAAGTGGAAACTATCCAAATGCCGCCAACACTAGAATGGATAAGTAAAATTACAGCACATTCCCACAAGGAAATACTGTCCAGCAATAAGATAGACAATATGAACTACACACAAGATGGGTAAATCCCACAAACATAACATTGACTGAGAGAGATGGACAACAGTGCAGCCTGTGTGACTCCGTTTATCTAAAGCCCGACCCGACCCACAGAGCTCAGAAGCCAGGGCAGGGCTATTCTCGGGTAGTCAGTGACAGGAGGGAGGTATGAGGAGGACCCTTTGGGTGCTGGGGAGGTGAGTGAGTCAATTTCTAAAAATGCATCAAACAGTACATTTGTAAATTTGGTCCTTTTCTATGTATGTTATGCTTCAACACAGTTTTTTAAAAGATATGAAGACAATGAATGGAATGGACTAGTACTCTTTGGGGGCTTCTGCCCCTCGGCTCTGACATTCAGGCTGGGGTGGGCTTAGGAAGAGGAAGTCAAGGGCTGGGGCAGGGTCTAGAGAAGACACAGAGGGAGAGAGGACAGATGTCACAGGAGAAGAGAGGCAGCCTGATCTCCAACGGGAGAGATGGAGCCGCTCTCACTTACTCGGCAGACGGACTTTCCTTTCATCAAGTCCCCAGCGCATATCATATCCTCCTGTACAGGCCGTTGACCGGAGTTTGGATCCGCCAAAAGCATATTACAGGCGTCGTTGTTCATGATACCCAATTCTGCCTGTTGCAGTTGGCGGGGCGAATGCAGTACAGCTGCAGGGAGCAGGTGGTGGTCAGACGTGGGGTGGAGCTGGGAGAGAAGCTCGCTCCCCCTCTAACCTGCCTGCTAGTGGGGATGCTACTAATTCTAGCTAGCAGGATTGGGGAAGCCTCTCAGAGGACTTGCAAAGATGAGGGGAAAAGATGTTCAGGGCAGACAAGACAGCAAAGGTGAAGGCCTGCAGTGAAGGGACCAGGAGGGAGGTCATTGTAGCTGCAGTGAGGTGAGAGTAGGAGGTGACGAAAAGGAGGCAAAGTCCTAACAGGTCCAGAGCCAGCAGGGCCTCCTCACCAGGACATGGAGTTTGGGTTTCATTCTAAGCACAATGGGAAACCACTGGAGGGTCTACTTACATTTTAAAAACAATTAATCTGGCTATGTGGAAATAGAAGTAGAGGCACAGAGGGTGGAAGCTGGGAGTCCTGGCTTGGCCAACGTGTAGCACTGATGTACCTAATGAACGCCAGGTGGAGACAGGTACCATGACAAGAAGGACATGGCCCTGCCTCAAGGAGCAACTGGTCTGTAGGCACTTTCTATGTGGACTCTATCTCCAGATATCGCTCACAGGTCTGACCTGGTGTCCCCACACAGCAGCACAGTGTTACGGTGACAGCTGACTACTATGGAGTGCCTGCCCTGAACGGCCCTCATATGACCTCGGGGGCAGCTCAGGCCCAGCAGCCGCAGGCAGGGGAGGGTGTGGACGAGTCTCTCATTGACTTCAGCTGCTCCCTTTCCTGGTGGGTGCTACAGCCCATGACTTCCCCTCCTGCTCCAGCTCCTACACTCTGACCCATCCTGGGGAATTCTCCTTGCTTTGCCAGTGGTTCTTAATGAATGACAGTCCATCCCAGGAGACTGTCTTTAGAAATGTTGGACAGTTGGCTGTTCTCATGACCAGGCAGTGTGACTGACGTTTAGAGGCCAGGAGCTGGGATGCTGGCACTGGCCTGTCCATGGAGACACTCTGCCAGGTCAGGATCCTATAAGTCATGCCAAAGTTCATTCTACTCTTTTCACTCAAAGTTGTATTTTCCTAAATCACAAGCATTCACCCTTGTACAAAAATCTTTGCCCAAAATTTCTGCTCTCTCAGTCTAAAAATATACTAGCCCAGGAAACTGGCAGAACAGGCAGGTTTTTCTTGATTTAAGGGATGAACGAAGTGAGGTTCACAGAGGTAAACCTTAAGCCATAAACGCCCCAACTTCACCTCCCAGGCCAGAGAGCAGGCCTGCCTTCATTCCTTCCTGCAACCCCGCAGACCTTCCGTGGCACTGCAAGCTGTCAAGAGGTGCTGGATGAAGCCCTGGAGGGGGCTGACCCAAGCAGGACTTGCGAGTCAGGGAAGAATCCTGTCTGTCTGGGAATCAGAGAGCCAAGGTTCCTGATTCCAAAAGTTAGAGATGCTCAGACTTTCTGAACCATGGACTGAAGGAAACTTGAAGCTAAGAAGGACACGCTTTCAGGGATGGAAGGGCCCGCAGTGGTCACTGCACCACCCCGCTCCTTGGCCCTTGCCCTCCTCACCCGCCCCTCCCCTGCTCACTGTCCTCGGTGATCATCCCCCAGCCAGTAGCCCAGCAGGAGGAATGGGCAGGCACCGTCATGTTAGCCCCTGGGAGGCAGACAGGGAGGACGTGGGAAGTAAACTTTGCAGGCCGATGCAGTTGCAACAGGGTGATGTCCCTCGACATGAAGTACTTCTTGTTAAAGTCATTGTGGACGAAGAGTCGATACACTGTCATCATCATGCTGTGCTCGGTGGGCTTTTCTAGCTTGTGGTATCCTAGCAGGACCCGATAGTCCTCTGCTTGATGGGACCTGTTGTGGGGAGGCTGCGTTATCACCCACTTTCTCTGAGTCCTGAGCCAGCACCCTCACACTGACTGCCTGCCCCCTCCCCCCGCCCCCAGTAAGCAACGAGACCCCACCGTTATTCCAGAGGTTTCTCTTTCCTCCCTTACTAATATTCTCTTCAGGGGTTTGATTGCTGCCCATAGCATCAGGACATCGGTCCTTTGAAAGTTTCTGATGCCTTCCCAGCATGCCCCAGAATCAAAGGAGCAGAGAATCTTCATGCTGGAATGAAACACTGGGGACACAGCAAAGTGTACCCCTTCATTTTACAGGGAGGAGACGCGGCTTATTCCCAGCTCTGACCAGAACCCTTGGAAGGTCCCACAGCCTGGAGTGATTCTCAAAGACCCCATTTCCCAGCTCAGAATGATCCATCCCTCTCCTTGCCAGTCCTCACACGCTTACTCCTCTGAGAGGTGGTCCCCATCTGGTGACTGGTACTGAACAGGTCTTTGAGCAGCAAATAGAGCAGTACGTGGAACTGGACTTCTTGTTTCTGGGACACGAACAACTTTCCGACTCACACGTCCTGCTTGTGCTGTCCCCTACCAGACTCCACATGCTCAAGTCCTTCTCCCATAGGCCTCTCCAGCTCCAGTCCCTCCTCTGATGGGACCTGTGGCACCTCCCCTGACGCTGGCTCAGGGTCTACACTCTCGCACAATCTGGCCACTCTGTCTTGCACCACAGTACCCCCAGTGTCTCTTTCCTGATAGGACAAAAGCTTCAAGGTGGGTCTTGCATCTCCACATCCCCACAGGGGGCCTCACATGGGGCCTGGCACCCATGGGTGCTGAATAAATGAATAGAACCCAGTGGGGTATCAATGCCAGCTGATGCTCGCAGCTCTGGCCTCCAGACTTGGAGTGTGGCATTCTCTCTACACACTCTAGGCACGAGTAAGCCCAGGACGCACCTCAACAGCGGCCTACTCCCTGGAGCGTCTGAACCCCGTCCCCCAGCACCAAGGCTGTTTGCTCTCGCCTCACTCTGGCCTGTGGGCATAGTGTGGACCATAACTCCTCTTAGACACACAGTTCTACAGAAGTGACAGGAAGAGTCAGGTGCTGGTTAGACATGCAGAGTCCCAGGATACCTCCAGAGAGGAACATACTGGAGTGTGCAGGTGGTCAGGATCCAGGGAAGCCTCTGACAGTTGTGCTGGAAATGGCCTTCGGACAGCCTGGTTGGCAGGGGCAAAGTGCTTGTCCACACCAGGCCCTGACTGATGCTCCCCAGCCCTGGGAAGCGGGGACCCTGTGTCTATCACTCTGACTGACAGACTGAAGCCTGTACCGAGCACGTGGCCAGGGACACTGCACTACCATTTGCACAAGAGGAAACCGAGGCCCACTGCGATCCTGTGGACTGTCCAGAGCTGGGCAAGAGGCAGAAACCAGAGTGCACCTTGAGTGGGAACAGGATTTAGATTCCTGAGGCTTAGGGAAGATAAGGAGTGGGCTGGAGCAGTTACTTTGGAACTAAAGTCCGCTTTCCAGTATTTACTGATCATCACAATTAGAGTTCATTTCCACTTCGCTGTTTAAAAGTACCATAAAATGGCTGAGACAATCACACCATCTTGGTAAGTATTACCAAAGTGTGAGGAGGGGGCAGGACAGGTGCATCCCCAGAGGGAGCGATGAAATAAATGGCCTCTGTCCTAGGAGATGTGAGTCAGATATTCAGGAGACTGGAGACAGGTGGTGAGCAGGGGGCAGTCCAGGTAGAGGGGACTGCTGAGGCAAAGGCAGGGGCAACAGCACACACAGAGACACCTGGTGGCAGCAAGCCATCCCAGAACAAAGCCCAGGAAAGAAGCCTAGGACACCCCTCACCTCCTCTGTCCTGTCCACCTTGTGCTCCCTCCCCCAGCCCTCCCCAGCAGCTGGGCCATGGGGGAGATGCACCTTTGGAAGCAGTGGGCAGCAGAGATCACCCATTGGGCATCAAAGAGGGAGGCCCCACAGATGTGCTGGCCACGGAAGAGCAGGCTGGCCTGCCACGGCCACCGCTCGTCAGGGGCGTCCTCGCCATGGTAGATCTTCCCAGTGACTCCAGGCTGCCCGCACACTGTGGAGACAAGCCCAGCCGTGAGGCACCCGCATTGCAGACGCCAGCCCTGGTGCCTCCAAATGTCAGCATCAACAGGACCCAGGGCCACCACAGCCCCTCCTCCCACTTCACAGCTGGGGAATCTAAGGCCCAGGGTGAGGGGGGTGGCCCACATGACAAAGGGTCCCCAGCTTTGCTAATGACAGCAGTGCAAAGGGAGCCGCCCATGGGTCTGGAGGGGCGGCAGCTGTGGAGGGGCAGGACAGCACACGGGGCAGAGGCCCCAGCTGGAGGTAGTGCTCCCAGACACTTCCCCAGACCTTCTTTCCCGGAACTGGCACACTAGTGTTTGAGGTCCCAGAAACTGAGGGCGCAAAGAGGAACGCTACTTGCTCAGGGCCACTGATGATTAAGTGGTTGCACCCTTCCCACCTTAGCCCCCTATTCTAGGGAGACTGAGGCCAAATGGAACACACTCTGCCTCACAATTCCCCTTCTGAAGTAGTACTTCCCCATTCTTAAAATGAAGAGGGTGTGGGGGCCGGCAGGGCCAGGCCCCCGGGGACAGTGTGGGACCTTGGCCCTTGGACTGAGGAAGCTTGAGCTCCAGAGGCAAAGAGGCGGCCCGGAAGAGGAGGCGCCCTGGTCTCCTTGGCCTCGGCTCTCCCTGCCCCCACCTCCCATGCCTCCCGGGGACTCAGGGACTCCAAAGCTGGACCGGCCACATAGAGGTCCTCTTGCCTGCTGTGGAGGGTGGCGTGAGGGGAGAACACAAGAGAGGCGGGCGACTTGCTCCCTTCACTCGGGTCCACCCACTCACCGCTCGTAGTGTTCGTGGGTGACTGAGCGCACAGCAGCTGTAGGTGCCCCCAGAGCAGGGCCCCGGTCAGAGCGCAGGCTCCCCGCCATCCTGCGCCTGAGCCAGGAACCCTGGCGCTCGCCATCCGGCCGGTCCGCGTCCGGGATGAGCGGACAGCGCGGCGCGTGGCCGCCCGGAGGCTGACGGGCAACTGCCTCTTTCCGTGGGGAACTGCCCCCGACCTGGGCCAGGGCCCCAGCCTGCATCCCACGCGGGTAGCTGGAGAAGGCAGCGTACCACGTGCGCCCGGAGCCCAGAGCCGGAGCCTCAGGTCCGTGGAAGGCAGTCATAACCGGGAAGCCCCAGGCTGATGGGGGAAGCAGAGGGCACATAGGGTCCCTCGGTCCGGGGGGCCTCAGTTTGATGGCAGAGACATCAGGGCAGTTACGGCGTATGCCCAGGAATATACACTAATGGTCAAAGGTCAGATGCGTATATAATGTTACCAAATATTTCCAACTTGCTTTCAAGATCCAGTACACTCATTTAACCCCCTCCCCACCCCCACATGATTAGGTCAGTCCCACCAAGGATAATATCCCCTTCTTAAACTCATTCATGCAACACAGTATGACATAATTGTGGGGTGGATATCTCATCGTACTCTCAGGCCCCTCTCACACTCAGCAGGAGGGAATTATGCAAGGGTGTGGGTCACTGGGGGTTCCAACCTCTGGCCTCTAATGACTCATATCCTTCCCAAATGCAAAATCATTCCCTACATCCCCAGGTTCCCAAGAGTCTCATCCCATGACAATATCAACTCAAAATTCAAAGTCTCATCTGTTGGAGGAGGTCACCTAGAGGATGTCACTGCTGGTTGACCTGTAAGGTGGACCCTGGCAATCAGAGGCTTCTCACCCCCTCCCCTGTCCTTAGAATGTCCACTCTGCCCACTGTTCCCAGAGTGGGAGCTGCTTCAAGGACACAGCCTTGAGAGAGTAATGTGGTGTTGAGACCATCTGGACCGTGTACATGACTGAACCCAGGTAAGGCCTCTGTATAAACTTTTAAGATTCTGGTGGGCAGGTGTGGAAATCTACTCGTCTTGCAGCTGCCCAAGACAAGCCTCATAAGTAAGTTCCCTTGTTTGTTAAACCTGCCACCTACCAATCTGGAGTGGACTGCCTCATTCTTTGGTCTCTCCTTGCCCTCCGTGTAGAGGCCAGTTTGCAAAACAACATCATCATCTAAATCTAAGTATCATTATCTCATCAGCTCAAAGTCTAAAGTCTCATCATCTAAATCTTCCACGTCAGGTAAGGATGACGTTCCCAGCTGCAAGACATTACATACAGCTCTTAAGCACAAGTCTTCCCTGTCTGTGGACTCGAAAACTAAGGAAGCTACTTACCCCAACATTCATTGTATGTTGGGACACATACAATGCTGGGGCATGCATAGGATAACAATTGCAGACATTCCTGTTCAAAAAGGAGAGGGAGGGAAGATGGAAAGTAAAAAGGAGTTACTGGTCCATAAGTCTGTATATCCTACTGGGCAAACTCCATTAGATTTCAAGGCCTGGGGAAAATTCTCTGGGACTCTTGGCTCTGCCCTGTGGACACTTGGTCATCCTTGGTCATTTTTTGAATACTCAATCCTTTTATACTCTCTGAACTGTTTTGTTTGTTTGCTTTTCTTTCCTTCTTCCTTACTTTTCTTGCCCTTTAATGTTTCCTTAACCTCAGCAGGAAATCTTCAAAATCTATGAGAACAATTGTAGTATTCAGAGATTTCCATGAATGGAGTTCTAAATTTTTCTGTATAGGTCATTTAGTCCTAAATTAATTTCTAATTATTATGAATTATGCCTGCAATTATACTTACTATATTTTAAAGAAGAACTTAAAAATCTCGTTCTAAATTCATTTGAAATAATGGAGACATTGTGAAAGTCGTGAAGAAAATGATAATTGCGGACACGTGTTCTTTTTTATGGATGATAGCACACATTTGCACTTGAAAATTTCTCTCAGCTTGCTTCCCACTCGTAGAGGTCATTTTGTGCTTTCATTTTGTCCTTTCTTTGCCCCTGCCAGAACAAGACAGCAGTGTTTCTGTTGACACAAATGTCTCAAGAACTTATGGTCCTTGCATGAATTTCACTAGGTTTCACTCCATTAGACAAAGCCACATCCACAGATATTTTGATGAAATTCCTTCTCTAACTTGGCCTCCTGTTGAGATGTTATGTATGTATCACCACAATGAAAATCTGGGAAAAGAAAAAGCAATATGCAGTGTGCCTCTCCTTAATATAGTCAGAGACATAGAGGAAAATGTTGAGAATTTTGAAGAGAAGCTGGAGGAAGTGGACAGAATGGGGGCGGGGGGCAGAGAAGCATGATGACTGGGTCTCAAAGGTGGCACCCAGTAGTGAAGGCACTGCAGAACCCAAGAGTGGCACCTGGGTGGGAGCCAGGCATACCAGGCGCTGGGTCTGAGGACGAGGGGGCTGCCCACTGAGAAGCTGCAGGAGAAGTGTGTTCAGGGACGCTGGGAGATGAGACGGCCTTTGGAGAGGACAGGGTGCTCAGCATCTGGGCTGCTACTGAGGGTGTTCAGGGGAGGGAATGGCATGTCTGCCACCAGGACAGATGCCTTTCCTGCCTCCCACATGTCATCTTAACAACTATGAGCATTCCCAGTTTGCAGGTGAGGAAACTGAATCAAAGGAAAAGCGAGCCTTACACAGGGAGCACAGGTCCAGGACTCAAGCCCAGGTCTGCTGGCAGTTTGTCCCCCTGTGTCCTGCTCCTGGTCGATCAGAGCCCTAACCATTACCCCACCTGCCCCAACTCCAAGCTGTTTCTAAGGCAGTGCAGAAGACAGCTCATGTTCAGCTTGGGCATGGGCCAGGGCTGCCAGGGAGGCAGGGCTGAGAGAAGCCCGCTCCCCTACACGGGCTCCCTGTGTACATGCCCTCCATGTGACCTGGGGTCACACAGCTCGTCCAGGCATCAGGCCTCAGATGGGACTATGTGCAGTGTTACCTTCCCTTTCCAGAATGAAGGGTACCCCTCCCCGACCTGCATGGTGTCAGAAACAGGAAAATTCTGACAAATGTGTGATTCCTCGTGATAGAACAGTCACACTTCTAGAGAAACAGCGCGTGTGCACATCCAGAGACTTGGTGGAGCCTCCTCATCGCTGCTCTGCTTGTAGTATAGTGGAAATGGCATAATGGCCATCAACAAGCAAAGGGGAAAGTGGTGATGTGCTCAGAGAATGGACTGCTTTGGGGCATCTTCATAGAATGGGCTAGATCTGTGTGGTAACAATGTTGGCCTGCAAGGTGTAATATTGAGTGAAAAATGTAATAGCAGAATAAAATGACAGTACAATACCAAACATGGAAATCAATACTGTATACAGTTTGTGGATCATACATTTGCAGTGAAAGTTCAAAAACATGAACAGGAGGAACACAGAGCGAATTCTGGGTAGGTGCTGCCCTAGGAAGGTAGGGAGGGGATGGACCAGAGGATAGTGACAAAGGAGACTGTTACCATATGTGAAATGTGTTGTTATATGAAAAAACATATTTATCTATAATGTATGTGTGTAATGTATGTGTATAACACATATTTTATAAAAAACATACATTTTATATATATTTATGTATATGTAAAATATTGAAATGTTACATAAAAATGATTGGAAGCAAATATGGTAAAATATGAACATTTGTTAATTCTGGATAGTGGATGCATGAGCATTTGTTAATTTGAATCTCTCTGCACTTTTCAATTTTTCAACATATTTAAAATAGTTCACAGTGATAACAAAAGAACAAAGTGTTGTATATTAATCTTTAAAATTAAATACGTGAACAAAATAAATTCCAAGTGTGAACTAAGTCATAAAGGAAGCAGCAGGCTAACACGATCGAAAGGACTGTGAGCCCACAGAAGGGGGCGGCTCGGGAGCAGCTGGAGGGATGAGCTGGTGGGCCAGGCCAGGAGACGGCCAGGGGTGGGCTGGCAGGGCAGACGTGGGCACGGGTGCTCAAGAGGGCGGCGGGCGGCTGCCATAGGGGAGGAGCAGTCACTGGGCTTCTTCAGCTGGGGCAGCTTTTCAGGGTGCTTTTCCAGGGCTTTTGGAACCTTTGGGAGGCTTCTGGAAGGGGATGGACATGATGGTCCGAAGAGAACTATGAGTATGGATTAAAGAGGCTTTTCAAAGGTGTCACCTGCTTGCTAAAATCCAATGAAATAAAACTTACTCACTACCCCAGTGAGTAAACGAACAAAGAGTTCCTCTGACTACCCTTTGGAGAAAGAGTGATGGACATGCTAGGATGTGGACAGGTGAGATGTCAGTCCACCATGAGGAGCAGGAGGCACTCAGGTGTGATGTGGGCAGTGAGGACCAAACACTGAGGTCTTCCTGCCCCAGCCTCCCGCACCGTCATCCATTTATTCACGCATCCCCAGATTCCCTGGGTAGGCGTGCTGAGCCAGCAGCCACCGTCGGAAGTGGGAACTGGGCATGGATGCAAACAAGACCGACCCTGCACTCAGGGAGCTCAGTGTGGTGGAGAGTCAGGCCAACAACTGAACACAGAGATAGAATAGTAGGGGCTACAGAAACTATCAGAATTTTAGTTTATGTTTCCTCAATATATGTTATTCAATTATAATGCAAATCTGGGTTTAACCAGGAGATGCAGACAACATTGCAACATTCTTTGATATGGATTGAAAATCCGCTAATTCAGAAGATGTCAATATGGTCAAGATCTCTAGGACCTCAAGGAAAGTTCCTGAAAAGCACTGTATCTACCGATGGAAAGGTCAATTCAGGACCCATCTTTGGAGGAGATTTCTCTTCTATAAATCTAAATCTGGCCCGTCACAAAGAGACCTCCTCCTGCTTCCAGGCCTGCTCCAGCCCATCTTCCATCTGCATGTCAGTTCCATCCTTGTAGATGATAAGTCTTGTCTCATCACTGCTGTTTCGGTTGCCTCCCTCCCTCCTTCTTGCCACAACAACATTGCCCACATGCAGGACCTTGGCAGTGCCAGGACCTTGATCCACCCAGCTCTGCTCAAGCTGAGTCTCTCACCTGCCGTTTCCTCCCCCTCTTTTTCAGTTGTTTAAATCCACTGGCCTTAAGGACGAGCCATTTTAATCCTCAGTCTGGCATTTACACGACCCCTCTGTGTGACAGGCACTGGGGGTGAGCCGGTGAACAGGACAGACTCAACTAGGTATAGCAAAGTTAGACGCGACAAACACAGGGAAACACTAAGACAAGTTGTGGTAAACGGTATAAAAGAAATAAAGGGCAATATGTGAGTATAAGACAGAGAACTGTGGTCCATTCTAGGGGTCAGGAGACATTTGCCAGAAGAGTCTTTCTAACTGACATCTGGCTGATATGCAAAGAGGGTAGCAATTTTCCCAGACAGCAGGGGTCATGCATCCTTTAAGGAGTGGAAAGAAGGCAAGGGAGCTGGAGCAGAAGGCTGAGCGGGGAGGGACAAGGGATGGGCTGCACTTGGTCTCATCTATCAGGACAAAGATCTTAGTCTATCTTGAGAGCAATGAGAAACCAGTGGAGAGTTTTATTTAACGTAGGAGCAACATGCTGATGATGTGATGTCACGGTGATGGTGACGTTGGTGAGGAGGAGGAAGATTTTGGTGATAGTGATGACGGTGATGATGGTGATGATGAGGATGGTGAGGAGGTTGATGATGGTGATAGTAATGATGACGTGGTGACAATAACGGTGATGATGTAGATGTGTTGACTGAGATGCTGATGGAAACGGTAATGATGATGAAGAGCCAGTAACAATGTCTACTAGGAAGGCAGAGGCAGGAAGACCATCCAGGAAACTAGTGGATTGAGGATGGAAACAACATGATTTGGAGTGAGACACACATGCTCTGCCACCTATTTGCTGAGTGACCTTGAGAAAATGCATTGACCTTACATGTGCCTCAATTTCCTCATCCTCAGAAGGGTTCCTGAAGATGAAACAATGTGTTAAAAAAGTGCCTGGCACCTAGTAGTTGCAGTATTAGTTCCCTTTGCTTCTCCCTGACACACATGCTCGCAGCCAGCCTGTGATAATGAGGGCCTGGGATGGAGGGTCCCTCCACTGCCTCATTCCTGTAGCCTGGTCACGTGACAAGGCTAGTTGCTGAGGGACATTGTATTGCTGCCAGGAGACCAAGAGGCCCTGTTTAGATCATTCCTTCCAACTGGCTGCCTGTGGGAGCAGCTGTGTGAGTTGGGGAGTCTCAGGGCCATCTCTGCCACCCACCATTGTGCACACCCTCATGCCTCTAAGCTTCATTCTGATACCACAGTAAGTAACTCCTGTCCCACTGCCAACTCTGGGAGACACAGCAGGGGGACTCTACATGTCTTGGGAAAGATGGCTTCTGACTTACCCTAAGTCTTCTTGCAATGTGACCTTAGGCAAGGCACTTTTAACCTCTCTGGGCCTCAGTTTCCCAGCTGGAAACCCTCTTGCCAGCTCTAGGCGCAGCGTGGTGCTCCTCTGGGTCACCAGGCCCATCCCTGCAGGCAGTAGATGCTCCACAGTGAGGCTGTGTGCTGTCACTCTTGGCTCACTCCTCCACAGGGGGCAGGACTTGGGAGCCTGTCCATTTGGCAGTTTGAATAGATTGGCATCGAGTCTTTCGACAGTTTCGGTTTATCTCTAGCTTCCTGGAGTGTGCTTTCTGGCTGGTCCTGGGACAGGGCCAGTCCAGCATCCTGAGGCTTTTTCAGCACCACAAATGGTGAAAATTTTATTTCCCAAGTGATACGTAGCCTCACTAACCTGCGCTGCACACCTGCCCTGTGCCGGCACACAGGTGGTCTCACGGAGCACCCGGCCAGCAGGTGGTCATGATGAGTGTCGAAAAGGGAGGGGGACAGAGCAGTTAAAAGTTGTGGGGACAATGGTCAGAAAGGGGCAGTGCCAGCTCATCCCCATGGTGGCCAGCACATTTCAACCTCCAAGCTGACCCCAGGGGACCCCATGCCTGTGCCGGTCCGCATCCCCAGGAAGGGCAGCTGGGATGCGTGCCCTGGGCAGGTGAGACAAGTAGGGTGCTTCAGATGCTCTGTGGGTCATAAAGTGACTCTCAAGTGTGTGGTGGACTCCTGCTCACACTTAGAGGCTCGCTCATCGTGGGAGTTACTCCCCTCATGTCTCCCTGGAGCTATTTCCTGTCACTGCTATCAGAAGGATTGAGCTCCTAGCCACGTTTTTACTGGGGGGTTGTCATTTAACGGGTGTCCCTCTCCCAGGGAACCTGCATTCTAGAAAAGGTACCAGCAGGGAGCAAGACTGACAGGCAGGGGCTGGGAGGGGCATTCTGCTGGGCTGACAGCAAGAGCGACCTGCCTCCAGCCCAGCTGTGTGGCAGGCAGGGGCCCCCTCAGAACACATGTGTGGGGCAGTGCTCTGTTCCTCTTTGGGCCTGGGGCCAGTAGAAGCGCAAGGGGACACGCTGGGGGGTGCCAGTCCTGGCAGAGGGCTGGGGAGGCATGGTCAGCCCTCTGGCATTGAGGAGGAAGAGGGGGGAAGAAAGTCCTTAGTCTCCACCGTATTCTGCCCTCAAGACACAGGCACTGCTGCTCCTCCTGCAGAGGCTGTAACAGACGCTCACAGAGGGTACATCCCTGGGCTGGGGGGCTATCTGGGGAGCAAGGCCTTTGGCTGGCGCTAAAGGGAGGAGTCACTCATGCTCTAGAAAAGGCCCTGTAGGTGAGAAGAACGAGTCAGGGGTCCGACTCCTAGGTCATCATGCCAGCTGTCCTCGCTCTCCCAGTGTGACAGCCCAGGGCCGCCAGCCTCTCTGGGTCACATCCCTTCACTTCACCCCAGACATGTGCAGGCCGAGAGGCTCAGTCCATGGGCACACTTAGGAAAGAAGCCTTCTGGCAGTGAGTGTCAGCTCCTGGGTAGCCCACCGCAGGCCTCCAGGGCAGGTGCGTTGTCATCATGGACCCCAGCTGGGACCATGGAAGGCCCGAGGGACAAAGTGATTCAACCGGGACCACACAGTTAACGAGAAGAGGCAGAGCCAGTTTCCTCTGAAGTCCTCAGATTCTGCACTGGTGAGAAAGAGAAAGGAGGCAGGCGGTGGGCACCCCATGTGGTCAGAAGCCCATGGCAGAGGGAGGACACAGGGTTCTGGTGTGTCACCCTCTGGTGCTGGTCCAGGTGGCATTCATGAATGCGAGGCTGTGCCGTCTCATGGCTCAGTGTCTAAAATTCCTGCCTCCTTCTGATCCTAAGAGCATTCTGCCTGTGCTCAGGAAAGCACTGGCTCCCTGGCAGGTCCAGCCCCAGGCTAGGCATGGCGTCAGGGCCGGGGCCTGGAGACGGGCTGTGCAGGGGACGGCAGGCAAAGGCCGCAGGGGGCAGGGTCTCGGGAGCACAGAGCAGCGAGCGCAGCTCTTTCTGTGGTCATAACCAGGGGATGTGTGGAATGGAGAATGCGGTGGGAGGTGAAGGCTCACGTGTACCGAGCATTTCCCTCAGGCTACACACTGCAAGGTACGTTAGCTCTGGATCTTTGCAACATATCCGTGAAGTCTGCAGGGCCAGCATTCACGTTTTGGAGATAAAGCAACAAATGTAGAGAGGTGAGGGAAGCTTCTCAAGGCCGCACAGCAAGGCTCTCCAGTGCGGGCAGCCTGCTCGCCTGAGCTGGAGTACCACCCGCCAGCCTCTCCACTGTGGGCCCCAGCTGAGTGCACAGAACTTGGCACGGCCCTGGACAGCCCATGACATTCCAGCTGCATGAGCCTTCCATTCTCTTCTCTCTCCCCACCTTCCTCTCCTCCCCCGTAGCTTCTATCTGGCCTCTGTCTGCCAGGCCGTGGCAGGGAACTTCCCCCACAGAGGGATCTTACACAAGGGCAGCTGCGTGCTCTCCCACATGTGGTCCTGTGTAGAATGGGTGAGGGACATACACACATATACACGTGGGGTCACCCCGATCTGAGGGCTGTGGCCCAGGGCTCCGTGAGGAAGAGTGTGAGCATATCTGGGCACCTCCAGCCTGCCCATCTCCTGAGACCCCTATCATGTGCAACCAAAGACAGAGGCCAGGCCCTGTGCACAGCCAGGCAATCCTAGCTCGCAGGCACCTGCCCTTCCCTTCTGGCAGGACGGCCTGACTCTGAATCCAATGTGCTGAGCATTCATGGTACACTCCTTGCTAGCCAACCAGACAGGTTTGGGGGACATTTATCAAGAAGTCAGTGACTAACCAGTCATGGCAATGGGCTGATGTATTTAGGTATACCAACACACACATGCAGGCAGGACAGCCAGCAGAGATGTGCATGAATGGGAGAGGCCATGTGTGAGCAGAGGTTTGCATTGTTGTTTCTATTTTTGTTCCACAGTCATTCCTAAGGCCTGCCTGAGCCCAGCATCTCTGCTGAGGAGTGGTGCCATCAGGGCCACTGCAGGGGACAGCCACCTCTGGGCAGGTACAGAACCAACCACCGGTGACAAAGCTTGCCACTGCTTCCAGGAAGCATGGGGGCCAGTGGGCACCTTGCCCCTTGGGCACCACAGCCTGACCAGACTCTGGCTGACTCACCAGCAAGCCCTCCTGCACACCCCAGGCAGCTAGCAGTGCCTCCGTGAGCCTCAGGGACCTCAGCATGCCAGTATCTGTGCTGCTCTGCCTCACCCTTCCCTCGAGCCTCCCGGCTGCAGCTGAGCTGGCTCCAAGCCCCCAGTGACCACCCTGCAGAGCCAGAGGCTGAAGCAGGAGCCCCACTGTCTGCTGTGGCTGATGTCCTGCTCTCAGATCTGGCCTACATTGTCATCCACATGCTCATCTCCTCCAGCAACCTGGGCAGCAAGGCCTGGGCTGCATCACCTGTGGTGTTCTCATAGACGCTGTCGGCGCTGCCCAAAGCAGCACCACACTGTCCTTCATGGCCACTGTGCTACACACCTGCCTGGCAGTCACTCATCCTCTGCACTCACTCTCCTTCATGCCCTGTAACCTGTAAGGCAGCCTGGAAGGCAGTAGACCTCATCTGGCTGGTGGCCTGCTTCTTCCTTACATTTCTCATTTGGCTCAGGGGGTGGCAGGATGCCAGGTGGGAGGAGCGAGGGACCTCATGTATCTTGCAGCTGAGCCTGGGCACGGAGCTAGGCTGTGGCTCTCTGGTCACTGTCACCCACACTTGGATCTTGTGCTTTCTGTGCGAGTTGTCTATGCACAGCTCTCACCACCTACTGCTTCTGGAGGATCTACACAGAGGCCAGGACTCCAGGTGTCTGGGTGCAGGGCTATTACTGGACCAGAGGCACCCTGCTTGACCACACACTGCTAACCACACTGTACGTTAGCCCAGTGGTAGTGTTTCCCTTGGACACTGTGCTGACCAAGCTCCACCACACTGGTGCCAGGCCTCAGGCATGGCTCATGGCAGCCAACAGTGCAGTGCTCATGGTGCTTCCCCATGTCACGCTCCCACATCTGCACACACTCTTGCCACTCGCAGCTGCCGGAGAGCATCTGGGGCCACTTCTCATCAGGAAACACAGTGACAGCTTCACCATTTCTCAGAGCTACAGGCTTCACAGTCTGGCAGTCTGAGGTTAAAAATTACATGTTGGATGCACCAGCATCCAATTATGGCCAACTCCTCAGAACTGTGAAATATAATTGTGGAACAGGACATTTAAGATGACCTCAATTGATGTTTTTCAACATTTCAACAGTTTTTAGGTAGAGAAATCTCTCTTTTATTGCTATTGAAACCCTACTTGAAAAAGGAAGGAAGTAAATGTGACTCAGCAGAGCTCTGGTCAAAGTGAGGGTGAGGTCCTGGCCTGTGCTCTCCAGCGGCTTCCTCTGCACCCACCGTGCCATTGACGGAGTGCCGTTGCTGGCAGACACACAGAAGCCAAAACGGTGCTGAAAGCTGGAACCTGGGAAGTAAGCAGCAGGTCTGCTGAATCGGGGACCATGAGCCTCCAGTTTGGCAGCTGCTCACACTGTGGGAGGGAGGCGAGCAAACCTAGGGCCCACCTATAGGGATGAGTTTCATGGAAACATCTATATAGCTGGGACCCCAAAAGATACAGTGTCAGAACAAGGACAAGTGACGACTATGAGAACAGCAAGGGAACTTGCCTGCCTTGATATTGGTGCCATGCAGAAGAGGAAGAAAATTCCTTGAGAATTTTTAAGCAGAGGCTATCCTTCAGAAAGGATTAGAGCTAGGTTTCAAACTATTTAGTGGTCAAAAAACCCTGCTTTGTGGCTGGTGTGGTTCTTCTGAAGGATCTGAGCTTCCACTCAGGCCTCAAAGAATTTCCACAGTAAAAGAACCTCAGAGAAGATGAGTGGCACTTAGTCAAACCCACAAAGCCACACAGGGAAATTAGGCATCACTAATGAGAGTGAGAAAGAACAAGCCAACAGCATCACACTCCAGCTGTGTGAATCATCAGATACTTGGTTAATACAAAAGTGTTCAATATGTTTTAAGACAGAAAAAACAACATGAAAATATGAGCAATGTGGGGCTGGCCCTGTGGCATAGTAGTTAAGTTTAGAAGAGGCAGAAGTTCACAGGTTTGGATCCTGGATGTGGACCCACACCACTCGTCAGCCACTCTGTGGCAGCATCCCACATAGAAAGTGAAGGAATGTTGGCACAGGTGTTAGCTCAGGGCCAATCTTCCTCAGCAAGAAAAAAAATATGAGTGAGGAATGATATATTTTTAAAATAACCAAACAGCTGAGGAAAAAGATTAGATAGAACTTTTAGAAATAAAAAGTCTAATAATTAGAATGGCAAAAGCTAGGCTAGATTTTATATGGGTTAAACAGTGTATTAGACACAACTGGAGAGAGATTTTGCAAACTGGAAGATAGGTTCGAATAAATTTTCTAAAATTCAGCCCAGAGGGACAAAGAGATGAAAAATATAAAAAAGAGATTAAGAGACCTTGAGGCTAGAATAGAAAATACTAACTTACAGCTAATTTGGGAATATTATAGAGAAAATGTGGAAGGGAAATATTTGAAGAGATAATAGCTGATAATTTTTCAGAATTGTTGGAATATATCAAACCTTAAATCCAAGAACTCCAACCAGTTACAAATAAGATAAATGACAAATAGTCCACCTGAAGCACATCATGTGAAACTGAAGGAAACCAAAGACAAAGACAAGATATTTAAAGCTGGCAGAGGTAAAGGAAAAGGAACAGGAATTAAACTGATAGCTGACTTCTAAAAAAGCAGTGGGAGCCTGAAGTAACGAAAATAATATGGTCAGTGTGATTAGAGACAGGAACGTTGACCTAGAATTCTATATACAGGAAAACGATCTTTTCAGAGAGCAAAATAAAGACAAAATAGAACACAAAATCTGAAAGACAAAATTCCTAGCAACACACATTAAAGAAATTTTAAAGGATGTATTTTTGGCACAAGGAAAATTGTTCCAGATGGAAGGTTTGAGATGTATGAAGAAATGGTGAGAAATAAACATTGAAAACTATGTGCATAAATTTGAACAATCATGGTCTGGTTGACTGTATAAAAGCAATAAAAATATCTAATTTAGGAGTTTAGAAAAAAGAAAAAATATTGTACAAAAATAGCACATGAGTTGGGAGGTATAATGCACCTCGATCATTTCAAAGCTCTAGCAGTCCTCAGGAGGAGGGCAGAAATACTAAGACTTTGCAGAGAAGCATGTTAGAATGCCTGAGGCAACCACTAACAGACTAGACAGAGAAGGTAACTTTCTAAATAATCTATGGAACAAATGAAATGAGTAAGAGAAAAAATAACCCAAAATAAGGCAAGAAAGGAAAAAGTATACAGAAAAGTCAGGACAAATAGCATAAAATAATATGATAGAATCCAAACCACAAATTTAAATGTACTAAAACAATAAATTTAAATGGACTAAAATTTGATGATGGGAAGACTAATGTCAGTTTTCTTTTAAATCAATATATGTAATTTGTAAGAGATAGCCCTAAATAAACAAGAGGGAATGCTTGAAGTAAAAAGATATGAAAGCAAATATTCATTAAATGTAGTCTAATAGAAGAGAGAAAGTTGACTTTAAAGCAAAAAAAGCATTATTAGAGTAAAGAGAGTTGCTGCATAATGAGATAAGGATCCCTTTATCAGAAGGATAGAAAAATTAACACACCTAATAACAGAGGCTGAAAATTTATAAAGCAAAAATTAACAAAATTATGAGGAGAAATTAACAAATCAACCCCGGTAGAGAGAATTTTAAGAACATCTCTTCCTAATTGATAGATCAAGCAGACAAAATAAATAAGGATGTAGAATTTTGAACAACACAACTGTCAAGCCTGATCAAATGGACAAATTTAGAATATGTCACTCAACAATTGGAGAATACACAGTATATTTAAGCATGCCTGGAATTATTAATAAAAATGACTAGATCCTACTCTGTTAAGCAAGTCTAAGTAAATTTCAAAGAATATATACAAACCACAATGTCTGAGTCCAGTGCACTTAAGTTAGAATTAAACAATAAAAAATAATGAAATAAAATATGCTTGGAAATTTAGAAACCACAGATCTAAGCAACTCATAGACCAAAGACTAATTAATTAATAAAGGAAATTAGAAAATGTTTAGAATTGAATGATGTTAAAAATATTTCATATCAAAATTTATGACATGCCAGCAGAATTCAGAGGAAAATGCATAGTCATATATGGTCTATTCAAAAGGAAAAAGGCTCAAAATTAATGAGCTAGGATCCAGATTAAGAAATTGAAGAAAGAACAACAGGTATATATCAGATAGCTATGGCTGCGTCTCATAGCATCTTTACAAATATGATTAAGGATTCTGAAAAGGGAGGGTTGTCCTGGATTGTCTGGGTGGGCCCAATGCAATCACAAAGGTCCTTACAGGGAAATAAGGAGGCAGGAGAGTGAGAGAAGTAATGACAGAAGCAAGGGTCAGAGAGAGGGAGATTTGAAAATGCTACGCTTTGAAAATGGAGAAGGGGCCACCAACCAAGGAATCTGGGTGATCTGTAGAAGTGGAAAAAGGCAAGGAAATGCATTCTCTACTAGAGCCTCCGGAAGGAACAGCCCTGATATCATCTAGATTTTAACCCAATAAGACCCATTTCTGACCTCTGATCTTCAGAACTGTAAGATAATAAATCTGTACTGTTTTTAACAACTAAGTTTTTGGTAATTTGTTACTGCATCAATGGGAAACTAATACAGTGGGTTTGGTTTGGATGGCTCTTCTCTGCTCCCCAAAATGTCCCGTCTACCACAGGTTAACCGGGGCAGTTCACACAGCAGTGGAAGTTTCCAAGAGAACAAAAGTGCTCAGATGCTTGGCTGTGGCACACCATTACTTCCGCCGCATTCTGCTGGATCAAGAAGAGCACAGCACCACATGCAAGGGGTGAAACAATAGACTCTACCTCTTGACAAGAGGAGCTCCAAATCACATCGTAAGGGATGGAATGTCTTCATAAGAGCAATACTGAGAAGAAAAATTCGAGGGGGGAAAATATTAGGCTTATTGTAGTGATCTGTAACTACCTTGGAAAACAACAAGGTTGAAGATGCCCTTACTCTGTGACCCAGCAACTATATTTCAAGCTAGAGTCCCTAGAGAAACACTTGTCCAGGTACTCCATGTTTATAGCAGCACTGTTACTATTAGCTAAAAATGGAAAACAACCCAAATGACCAGGAATAAGAGAATGAGTAAATGCATTATGGAATATTCACACAATGGAGTACTAGACAGCATTGAAAAACAAATAAATAGGTACACATCAACACGGATGAATCTCGTAAGTATACTGTTATTGGAAAAAGGCAAGTCACAGAAGAATACATCCTTTCTGGTTCCATCAATAGAAAGTACAAAGAAATGGGGAAGCTTAAACAACGTGAAGTTTAGGAATACATGCTTATGTGGGGAAAGTATAAAAGATAGAGAATGTGATCAACACAAAATTCAGCAAAAGGTTATTTCTATGTGGGAGGGAGGAAGATGTGATAGGGCACAACCAGGTACTTCTGAACTATGGTTAAAATATTTTATAAGTAGGATCTACAGTGTTTGTTCCACTTGTTATATTTAAAATTACGTACGGTTTAGATATGCTGTTTAGTGTATAATGTGTCCCAACCAAAGCAATTAATAAAATAGACAAACTACAGTCTCTTCTTCCTCACCCTCCCATCTTTCCACCTCCCTTTGCCTATGAGAAGGTAAACACCTACAGAGGGGAAGGAATGTGCTCAAGGTCACATAACCGTGTACTGAAGACAAGACTTCTGGCTCTCCAGCTCCTGACCGTGTAACTTGCTGGTTTTAGAAGGCCAACAGTTAGTCTGTCAGTGTGGTGGCACTGAGCTTGACTCCCAGGCATGCTCCTCTTCAGTCCTGGTCAAGAGCATAAACTTGTCCTGGGCAACTGTTGTTGGTTGTTATTGGTCCAGAGGTGAGCATGTATCCTAACTTGTCCATCAATGGTGGGAAAGTCTTAGACCAGGAGACAAAACTCTCTCATCTGTGAGCTCAATGGAACCCATCTGTGGACACCAGAA